TGAATATTTTTTTTTACCTGTCCATCGGGCTGGCTAGCTGTAAAATTAGAAAGCCCGGCAGAAATCTAGCCCGCCTCGGGCTGTCGGACGGGCGGACGGGCGGACGGGCCTTATTTCATACACTGACAAAAGACATTAAAATCTAGACTATCACCGTTAGGTAATTAAAACTAGCATGGATCTTTAAAATGGACACTATAATATAAAAACGGGCTCGTGACACGATGGACAAGTTCACAAACCATACTGCCACTAAGGACATTACAACGCAAGCCAAAGTGGGCAAGAGGAATAGATAATAATAGTCCTGAAACTCAGTTTAGTAAATTCCACAGACGTAATATTGATTCAAAGCACAAGTGTTTGCCACTAATATGTCAATGTCCACCGCCGCTAAAGAATGGAATAATCATAACATATTTACTGCTTTTAATGTTTTCCTCACATACAAGATGCCTGAAATGACTGGTGTCTGTATATCACCCAATATAGGCAGTCGACATAATTGAAGACATTGGGTACAACAGTTCATGCCATATCTTGTTAACAAGAATCGGGACTTACGTACGGACGGACGGACGCCGCTGAAAACATAGTCCCCCGTTCCGCGTTGCGGCGGGGGAAAATCGAACTCATTTCCACTTGTCTGAGAATTTTGGAATCTGGATGCAGCTTCTCACGTCTGGCGTCATCCTTGTATTTACTATATCACATTTGCATTGTTTCCATGAGGATCTTTGCCCTTCATGAGGTCAACTTAAATGTCCGACTTGTACAAGCTCACTCAATGAAATCACATAACATGTCCTAAATAAATACATGAATGCACCAGAGCATATAGCAAACATACAGTATCCATACCTCGTCAGTCGTAGATGTGTCTCTGGCACAGTGGACAGGTAATATACTACAGGAACTGTCAAGTCGGTGACGATGATGGTGATTTTAAAGGGGGACCCATTTTGTTCTGGGGAGCTACGGGGGTCAGCAAGTTTGTACACACGTACTGGTGGGGGTGGGGGTTCAGCAATTTTGTACATAACTATATGTTTAAAATTATGGTTAGAAATTATGGGGAGGGAAGGGGGTCATTGATTGTGTACATGACATGCAGGGGGGTCACTTATTTTGTACATTAATTTTAGGGGGGTTAATTCACATTGTACATGCTTCTACATAAAAATCATCATCACTCCGCCTAGCCATACATTATGTACGGTCCCGTAATTGAGTTTAGTAAATTTCACAAACGTAATAGAGATTCAAAGTACAGTAAATATCATCCCACTTGAAGTCATAGAATTTTGGAAGTTGGATGCAATCACCATTACCATAAGGTTCGTAGGGCCCCCATGGTGGGGATGTGACGGTGGTGTTGTCAAGCCACTGCCACTTCTTCACATCATCATTAAATCGGGCTCCAATCCAAAATCCGTCATCAAGGGCAGCTGCAAATTGTCAAATTATGAAGTTAGTTTGCTGGATTGTTTCACACCACATTATATTTATTGTAGATTAAGACAAAATAAACAGAGAGAGTTTGGGTTGTCTTGGTACACTCGGGCTTATCATTATATCAGGTACCCTTGCCCTACACGTAACTCAGACAACAAATGGGACTTCTCCAGGAAGCACTGCCTTGTCAAACCCAAGAACGTTTCGAAGAGTACAGGTGTGTAGACTCCTACCTATCTACCTGCGTCGGTGTATTCATATTCATATAAAAACCTTGTCGCTGGCGCGGATAGTTAATGTTTTGCCTCGTAAGGTTGGCGTACTTGGGTATGCATGTGTCCCAAGGCTGCTTTAGTAATTTGTCATTAATGTGTGTAACTTCCGGCAAGACTGCTGGCTTTGCACACTCTGAAAGTGAGGATTGTAGGTGTTGCGCCCAGTATATTTTGGGACCGGCTCTTGGCCTCTCCCTAGGAGTACATGTTTCTCCATGAAAACCATCACACACACACACACACACACACACACACACACACACACACACACACACACACACACACTCACACACTCACTCACTCTGATCGGTGCCTTTGTATTTATTGTCCAAAATGCAGAACAGAAAGTGTAGTGCACATATTGCATTTAAAAGATGCCTTTGATAAATATTGGCTAACTGCATGATACACCTCACACTGAATTCATTGCACAAAATATATATTGTTATAACTTAAACACCCACATATTTATATATGCTGAATCCCAACATGTAGAGGAATGATTGCTGACAACAGAACGTTTAAAATGAAGTGAGTCAGTGAGTTAAGATTTATAGTCGCACCGGAAATATTTTAGCCATATCGAGAGTGCAAAAAGTTAAGAATACATGATAAACGCAATTAAATTATAAAAGTCTGTCAACAAAGGACAGTAAAATAACTAGATTACCACAGATAGAGAATTAAAATAGCATGTAACTGCTTTTTGTGGACAGTACAATCTAACAAGAGTCATCAGAAGATGACATACCCCCCTGGCCCCCACATATTTGAAAGAACAAATCATCTGACAGTTACTTAAAGTCCAGCTTGGTTATCTTTTAGACTAAATCCAAATCGTTTCCATGGAAATCATGAGTAATATCAATGCCAAAAATATGTTAATAGCAAAAGGCACCATTTCAAAAGGTGCCTAATATATCTGCCAAGTTCTGTTGAAAGATATTGAATGTTTTTCAAGTTGTGCTCCGGAAACGAAACCCGCCCCTCCGTTTTGAGACTAAGTCCGAATCGTTTCCATGGAGACCAGGAAAAATAAAAATGCCCCAAACCTGCAAATACCAAAAGGCACCACTTAAGGTTTAGTCTCATATATCTGCCAAGTTTGGCTGAAATATATTAAGAAGTTTTCGATGATTGATCATTGTTTCATACATAAAGCTCTTTTAAGTTTACTTGACTATATTGATTTTTCCATCACAAGGAATAAATATTTAAATGTCAAAACAGGGAAGGATCTCTTGAATGTCAGTTATCATTTAATTATTGCATTTCTAAAATAAATATAATTGCTAGATATATTTTAATAAGTGGTTTGTAAATAGCTAAATATTTTAGTATTGGTAGTTTAGATTAGTAACTGAGAATGTTAGTGGCTGTACCCTCAAAGGTGGTTGAAGGATTGCAAAATTATTGTCCTCCTGAGAGGGTACGTAAGTCAAAAACATTCAAAGTCAGTTTAAATCTATCCAACCTTTTTAATCGTAGAATATGTGTATTTTTAATGTATGGCCAAGTATGTCTAAGCTGCTAACGGCTGAAGGGATGGTGTAAATCCAGATTGGGTCCATGCAGGAAGCAAGTATACTGTAAGTCCCTAGTATGGTGATCTACCTTCAACTGTTGGCAATCTATACATTGTCTTGTCATTTATAGTAAAAATGTTTTAGATTTTATGACTAGTTTGGTAATGGATATCTGTGATACACTAGTAGTTTTCCTGTTCTTCGTCAACAGGTTTTAATTTCTATTTGTATTGATATATGACATAATCATTAATTGTTCTCGTCACGATATGGCTGAAATATTGCCGATGTGACGATAAATATTAACTCACTCACACTTTTAAGTTTAAATGTTATTTGTGTGGAGGAACTTCTACTTTGTGAGTGTGTGAGTTAATATTTAACATCACATCGGCAATTTGTCAGCCATTTGGAGAGGAGAATAATTTTACGTTTTTAAAGAATGTATGTATATATGTATGTATGTATGTATGTATGTATGTATGTATGTATGTATGTATGTATGTATGTATGTATGTATGTATGTATGTATGTATGTATGTATGTATGTATGTATGTATGTATGTATGTATGTATGTATGTATGTTATAAAATATTATAAAACCTGTCGTCAAAGGACCGTAAAGCAACTAGACTACCACAGTTCTCCTTTGTGTTATGTTTCATATGTATTATCATGATATAAGTATGGAATGTTTCATACGTAAATCAGTTTCCCTTAGAAGATTCCTCAATGTGCCAGTCTTGTTAGCATTGTCAGGTCTAATGAGATGTCCATGGCTCATGGTGCAGTTTCTTTCAGCCTCAGCCCAGGTCATCTTCACTCTTCTTTCAATCATGTAGCACATGGCAGTGTCGGAATCCCATGTGTAACCAGACGACGATGCACAGGCAACTGAAGAATAAACAATAATATGCTGATTTATGCTCCCCCCAAAACCATTGCTTATAGTTTCTGCACAATATTAATTTTGCATATTGGTCTTGACACATTCTTATGTAATGGTATTGTATATCCCAGTTTAACAGTTTAAATGTATATAAAACCTCAAAGTCAGGCACACCGTGGTGGAGAGGTTAGGTGAGCAAACTGCCTTACTTAAAAAAAATGTCCACTTTTCAATTTCTGCGAAACAATTTTACTTAATGTTGAATCAACTATGTTTAATTTGTAGACTATTTTTTAAGGAGACAAAAACATCATGTCGCACACAAAAATTGCTTTCAACTGATTCAGTTCCAAGGGTTGTAACTGCCAATACTTTTCTAAATAACACCAGTGCATCTGAAAATATGGAATGTTGGCGAAGAATAAGTGGGTTTTGAGAATCAGGGTGTTCATAAAAATTATATTTATCCATATGGTGAAACATAACCAGTGTCATATATATCATATGTGCACATGTGCACATATTACTTTTGCCTAGCAACTACTGTTTCCGTATATTATCGTCTGTGATGTCATTTAACAATTGAACGTGACGTCAATGAACAGGGCTGTCACACTTGCTTACCGTGTTTTACTGCACAAATGTACATGAATAAAAAGGATAATAAAGAAATTATTACACCCGCAAGTGTGCCACACGACTGATACGAAACTCGTGCAAAATTGCGTATTGCCCTCGGTCTCGCTCGGGCAATACAAAATTTCACACTCGACTCGTATAGGTCATATGACACACTTGCTCGTGTATTAATCTCATTTTATATAGTCTCACTGAGTTTATTGGAGGCACCCTGATCAACAAGCAAAACCTGCTAAACAGTTGAGTATACCTTTGACATTGCGACATGTGTTACCACGAAGGTTGTACCCAATGTCACAACTACAGGCACCTTGGTGACAACGAGAGTTGAGAAGCGTTTTGCAATCCACGTCCAATTCACAGCCAGAACCAAACCTTGGCAAAGCTGAAAGAGTGGTATTTCATTTTTAATTTGGACCTTGTGTACTTTTCTTGTTATCTGTCGTTTGAAGACAGTCTAGAAATAACTTACTGATGATTTGTTTGTTATTTAACTCCACACTCAGCAATATTGAAGGTATATGACAGATAATCCAGTGATCAACAATCTAATGTTAGATCCTCTCATCCTTGGTTTGTCTGAACCATACATTGTGCTTTCATTTGTTTCGCCATAGTGGGAACACTTCGATCTTATCGGATTCTCCTCCCTGAAGATACTGATATAGATCCTACCACTGTGCTGACGCTTTACGTAGGCTTCTTGCACATCAGTGACGAACACTTTCGGTATACAGATGCATCTGTAACCTAGATCAACTTCTCACGTTATTGTATTGGTGTTTGGGCTGTTATGGATGGAGCAGAATATAAGATGACAGTAACAAAAACAAACATCATGAACATCGATCTACGCAATTGGGATTAATTTTGTTCATTTGTTTGCGCTGAACGATGTCACATCTGTTCAATTAGTCTCCGAGTTTTACGTTTTGATGAATCAATAAACAGAGTTAGTATTTGTCACAAACAAACGTGAAGATAGTGAGCTATGTGAAAATACACAGCGTGTGTGCGTCATATCCTTTGTTTTGAGAAACGGCTTTAATTCCTTGATAAGTTTAGCAAGATTAACGCCGAACACAAGTCAAATCAATCGAAAGTATAGTCCATGAAAAGCAAAGTTTGATTCCATGAAGAAAATTAATACTTCAATATTTTCAAAGTTTGAGTGTTTAAGTGAACACCACCGTTATTGGAATATTACAAACCAGCATGAAATCCAACTCACTCACTAACTCTGCCCTGAGGTGGCAAAAAAGGTGGCTAACACTGTTAAAGAACCACTAAACTTTGTTTTTTGTTACTCTTTTAAGCATTACATATGAAAGATTTGTGGTTAGTCTTATGCGGAACACCAAATTTATTCTTTAAAAACTTGTGGTTGATTAATACCGAGCGATTAAAAGTGGCCAAAAAAGTCGCCTGCTTCCCTCTCGCCCGCCAACGAAACCACAGACAGGTTACGTAACTCTGTCGCCAGAGCACTGCAGTGACGTCATATGAGGAACGATTTTCAGTTAGTTGTATAGAAAATGTGTAGCACGCTCATCATTTTGATGATTTCTCGACATCAACGATGACATGCCGAATCGTTGCTTTGTCGTCAATTGCTCCTAGGGGTCGGGCGATGGTGTCCCCATGCACAGATTTCCACAGGACCCCGCAGTTCGTGCTAAATCGGTTATGTTTGTGAGTGCGAAGCGAGCGTTGTGGAAGCCTGAAACGATATCTTACTTGTGTTCAGATCGCTTCACTGAAGTTAAAGAATCAAAACTACTTACTAGTTGTTGTAAAATATGCATATGATTGGTGACCATAAAGATTTTCTATGACACAACTTGTAACATAACGATTTCTTCCTCGGAAGTGAGGTTGTGGTCGAAGTAACAATAATATTGTAAGTAGTATTATATTGACACCCACCTCGCTGCCAGGAGAGAAATTGTTATGTTATACGCTATGTCATGCAAAATCCTATTGGCCATCAATAAAATACATATTTTACTACCAGTAGAAAGTAGTTTTGATTTTGTAACTCGGTGAAAACAAACCTAAATACCATTTATCCTCAGACTGGCGGATGTTCCCGACAGGGCGCCGCCATTTTTAAAAATAAAAAAATCTGTTAGAATTAATGAGATTATAGTTTGTTTTCATCAAGTTAGATAATCAAGACTACTTTCTACTCGTAGTTAAATATGTATTGGAATCATAACCAAACGGATTTTGCATGACACAACTTATAACATCGCGATTTCTTCCACGGAAGCGAGGTGGGGGTCGAAGTCACAATACTGCGCGATAAATTTCTTGCTACATTCCCATGGTTAATGTCCACTCACCAGTATGTAGATACTAGTCAATGTGCGTCTTTATATTTGGTCTTATAATCCTAATTAGTTTATTATCATACTTGTATGCATTTTGAAACTAAATAAAAAGCAGACGATCTGCTGATACTTATAGTGAATTTATAACAGAACTGTAATATCTAGACATTTTATAGTTTGCCAATGTGAATCATAATTCGCACACACACCCTAGTACATGTTGTCTGACTCATTACACTTCACGGCGAAAACAATGATTCTGTTGAATGCTACGACCAATGAATAAAATCAAAATGCAAATATTAAAATTAAAACAGATTAAAGTTATAGGAACAATATCAGGCCATTACCTTGTTCGAGGAATGTATCCATCAATATCCACAAAACTGTTCCAAATGATGTGTCTTTTAACAGTTTAATATACGAAAAAGTGATAAATCTTTTCAGGTATTGGTGTATAGTCTCATTGGTCACCCAAGATAGCACACCTGGCAACTAATTGCATAATGTCCGCCTTTCTTTAAAAACAGTAATTTAGTTAGCCAATAATGGGCAATCAATCAATGTATTGCCGGTTAATCCTTTGAAAGAAGGACGTTGTTTTTACGCAGACACCGACACGACAGAGTGTATTCAGTATAGATTAGTAAATCTACATACATGAACACTACCTTTTGACAATTCCGCTGTGTAAGATAAAAGTAATTAATCAATCAGCGTGTTATCGGTTAATCCTTTGATCGATGTTTATAATGTTGAATATTTACTCCAGACACAAGAAATGCCAAATGGGAACCTTTGTCGGGTAATCTAAGTGTGTTACCACTAATTATACCTGTTATAAATTCATTAACTGACCATCAAGTGAATGATGACAAATAACATGTGTAGGTTTATACCACCTAACACGGGTTACAACAAGGGAGTATTAATTGCTGTATTGCATGTGAAAACTCATGGGCCGACACTGTTTTGAGAATACAAACAGATTTTTACATGACATGATTAAATATCGAGGTAAAAAAACACAGAAATGGGATCGATTTGGATCAGTCATTATACAAATAGGGCCTAACGACACCAATCGATTTTGACAGAATCGTCTATGAAAACAAGTTGTAACTCGGAAACTAGGCAAAGCAGGAGACAAAATTAAATGACAGTAGATTGTGAGAACATATAGCTTTTATTTTCCACAACAATTGTCACGATTTCAGGTTTATACAAGCCTGTAAACAAGATAATTTAACCCCTTAAATGTAGATGAATTCTGCATCGGCCCTCAAAGCTATTCCTCATATGACGTCACAGACGCGCGCCGCTCTGATTGGTTGAAATTTCGTTCGCGGGTGAGAATTGTGCACTGTTGTCAAAAAGGTCGATTTAAGTCAATTAAAGGTCGAAATGAGTAGTTTTAATGACGGGGTTTCATTTATAACGATGCCAGTTAGTGATTTATGTATTTGTACCCCCTAGGGTTTATGTGACCTTTAACATTCACATTGATCACTGTTTACATGAGAATATCTAATAGTCACAACACACAACCTCTTTATTGAATGGCCACTTTTACCTTAAATCCAGCTTCACTGACAGGTGCTTGTGTGTCGCAAATGTTCTGTTCTCAAAACAATCAAACATTCACTGTCAATACATCACTTTACTTTTGATACAGTTCAGGGCCCCGTTTCACAAAGCCCTCAAAAGCCTAAGATCTCGTAACTTTTCTCGTAGCATTCGTACCTCCTATGTTACAGTATAGGAGGTACGAATGCTACGAGAAAAGTTACGAGATCTTAGGCATACGAGTGCTTTTTGAAACGGGGACCTGAGCTTGAAATAAGGAACAACATATTTCCATATAAAGATACAAACCCAAAAGGAACACGGTTATCAATAATATACACATACAGATCACGTTCCAGCCCTGACTGAGTGCCATTTTCTCATCCCCGTTAAATATGATTTAATTAAAGCACTATTGCTACCTTTTGCTCTCCATCCCATTTGACAAAAACAGGGATTTATTCAAAGTTTATGGATTTTGCTGGGGTGAATATTGTCTCAATTTCCGTACTCGTACGTTACTGCTAATAGTTTCCGATTAAAATAAGCTTAAATTCAGGGCATCGTTATTGAGTATTTTGGTATGTTTGTTGTTTAACACGGCACTATGCAATATGACAGCGGTCTGGGCCAGAGAGATTAGTGATCGACATCCTGAGCATCGGACTATGCAGTTCTGATACGATGACAGGTGTCAGACAAGTCAGTGAGCCTAACCAGCCGATCCCGTTAGTCACCTCTTACCAAGGGCATGGGATACTCAAGACCAATTCCAACCCGGATCTTCACGGGTACCAACTATGAAGAAAGGGCAAGGCAGGGACTATACAAGGTATGATGATCATCACATACAATACTGGTCTTCTTGTGACTTCTTGTTATGTAAGATGAGAGGCAAGACTTAATGCCCCGTATATACCTACGAAAAAGATGATTCTGCTTTCAGGTCCAGATAATTCTGTATTTTCTAGTACATATCTAAATATAGCACAAAACCGTTGCTCTATAAATATCACACATCCAGTGTAAACATAACATAACATTTGATAGTATTTCGATATGGCTGCAATATTGCCGATGTGACGTAAAACTGTAGTTTGTTAACATTTTAGTTATGACCTCCTTTAAATTATATTGCAGATCTGCTTGACTGTAACTTAAATGAGATTCTATAATGAATGTATTCTTACTGTCTTCAGCAACACATGCTCGTGGTGAGAAGAGACTTCACAGAATCTGTTGGTCAGACTCCCTGACTTGGTTGACACATGTCATTGTATCCCCCGATATATCGATGCTCATGCTGTTGACCACTGGATTGTTTCCCGGGTAGGATCTGTCGTCCAATGGTTGATATTCGAGAGGTATCACATCTTTTTTTGAATAGTACAATGTAATGAGAATTGAAAGATATGGTCCTTGCGCACTTTCCATACGCGACAGAGGGAAAGAGAGTTTGGCTGAGAAGACAGACCGTTATGTCTTA